TTTGCTTTGAAGCGTTTTTTTTGATAATGATTTTAATCACTGTCAGATATCATTATACTTGATCCAACTATGCCACGTCACCACTGTGCCGCGACCCCCCTGTGCTGGACTTTTTTAAAATAAATTTTAAATTTTTTTAACAAAACATCTACAACACATATTGTTGATCAATTCTTAAAAATTATTTTTCATTTATTTCTTTTGGTTATTAAATAGTTCATATATTTCTAAACAACTGTTAAGCGTGTTACATATGTTGTTTTAAGTTAAAATAAATACAAAAATTTTCACATAAACAAAATGTTGTAAATATATTCATAATTATATTATTCTTTAGATAATTTTGTAAAAAAAAAAAAATTGTTTTATCGATTTTTAACTTATGACCAATGTCGGGGCTTAATGCATTAAAAAAAATTGTTTGGCTTACTTCCCAGACACCCATTTTAATGAAAATTTATCATACTTGGTACTAAATATTTAGGATACTGTAGGTCATATAGAACTATTGGAATATTTTAAATTTGTATTTTATTTATATTTTAAATTGGAATATTTTATTGAGGTTGCGTTGGCAGATGACTCTGTTACACTACACCATAATAACTAAATTCTGAATAAATGTAAAATGTTTAATGTTGAAAAAACTAGCTTTATAAATGCTTTAAATTCCGTGTCTTCCTCGTGGTATATGTATTATTTAAAATTAAAAAAATTCAAAAGTATTTCTTTATTACATTTGTTGAAGTAATTACATAGGCTGAGAATTATGTTTAGTTACTTAATTTGAAGAAGGAAGGAAAAATTTGAACAGGTTTATCAATAATTGGCTTTAATGTAACTCAATAACCATAGTTTGGTACCTCTATTAAAATGTTCACTGAATATTTAAAACTAAAGAAATATTATTAAATTATAAAAAACAATTAAACACATTAGAGAAATTTTTATGAGATAAGAAAGTGTGGCAATAGTTTTTTTTTGAAAATAATTTTTTTTTATACTATTTCAAGTAATTTATAATATTGTATGTTGTATTAAAAATGTTTTCTGATCTTAAATACGATAAATAGTTCGCAATTTTTAAAAAATATTTTTAGATAATTAAACACTATCTAAAGATTTGCATCGAAGCGTTTTTTTTTTATAGTGATTANTCTAAAGATTTGCATCGAAGCGTTTTTTTTTTATAGTGATTATAATCACTGTCAGATATTATTATACTTGATCCAACTATGCCGCGACCCCCCTGTGCTGGGTTTTTATATATTTTTTTGTATTCGTAAATTTTTTAAAAATTCTAAATCTTGTCGAGGTGAGGGAGCAGCAATTTGTGCATTACACCAATCTTTGACATTTAAATTAATTACGAAAGATATATACTTAAAATTTAGTTAAAATCTTTATCATTTAATTTGAATTTTCCATGAAAAATAAATATGTTAAGAACGTAAAGCTCTTTCGACATCCATAGAGTATGATGAATCGCTGCCGGGGCTCTAAATAATACCCTCTAGGCCGCACTCTATTTAAAAAAGTTACTGTGATCTTAATAAAATCTCTATAATCTTCTCTAAAATGAGAAAATATTCATTAGTTCAAACAAAACTCTAAAATATGTTCAATAAAACTTTGTGATTTTTCAAAATAAATGAATTGTTAATACCGGACTTGTAATTTTGAGTATTTTCGGCAAAATTTATGAGTTTACCTTATTTTACCAAATAAATCTAAAATTATTTTCCTAAATGGGACCTTTATATTTAACTAGCTATGTGATAAAAAAATTGAGACCGTTATCGACTTTCGTTGACTATAAAATTATTCAAATATTAATAGACATGAATTATTATAGATTTTCAAATGTTGGATAATAATAAATTTATAAACCATATATTGTCAACTAAAAGGTATATTTTGTCATTAAATAAATAGATAAACAATCTAAAATTCACTTAATGTTAAATAGTAATTATTTATTATATGTCTATAGTTTAATTTATATTATATTTAAGTATTCGCAATTTTTTAAATATTACAAAAAATAATTAATATACTTTGACTTTTTTTTTACAAAGCTAAATCAATACCGGATTTAAAATATATTTCTTAATATATTGGTAGCATATATATAATAATAAATATTTCAGTTGGTTTTTTTAAATCATTTTCAACGTCTTATTAGTACTTGATAAAACAGTTTTATTATAAAACTAAAATAAAATTTAGGAAAATGTTGTTTTCTATTATGTGTATTGTTCTAAGTAGTATTAAGTCAATTGATTCAATACTGTCGCTTGAACAAATAATAAAATTAAAAAATTACGAATATATAAAAATTGAAGTTCCATTTGAGGACTGTATAAGTGAATATGATTTGACAGTGGGAGATGTAGTCTTTAATGCACTCAATAAAAATGACGAAAAATCAATTAAATATGCTTATGAGATATTGAACTTAGCTTACCAACACAGGGTAAATAAACAGTTGTCTCTATTGTACACTTACGCTTATGAAATTGTTAAAATGCCAAAAGCTGACGTTTCGTCGTTTTCTATTGGAGAGATGGAAAATAAATACAAAAATCAATATGCAGTTTTAAATGTAATTAAGAAAATTAACAATCAAATAGCTCAAAATCTCAAAATGATGTTAAATGGGTCGCTAGGTAAAGAAACATCGAAAATTATATCTTTTTTCGAAAATAAACAAAAGATCACTATGAAAAATGTTTTAAATTTACTAAACGAGCTTAAAAATATTTATCAAAATAAAGTCATTGATTATTGTGTATCGTCTCGACCATTTTTCCCGAAAATGAAAGAATTTCAATGGAATTACAATAGAGTATACCAATCTGTAACACGACCTGAGTTAACATACGTTTTCGAATTAGATCACCAAAAAAAATCATACACTGAAACAGTAAACGAATTTATTGAACTGAAAAAAAAAATATTTTCAGAGTATATGTGATTCCGTTATTTTATCATATCATTGGGTTAAATTTTAAATATATTTCTAATAACTGTTTTTAAATATATGTTACAACATTATACATACACGCTTTTTAATGACCGCATTATTAAGTATTAATATTTAAAATGTTCATTCATAATATTTTAATAAAATGAAAAAATTTATAAATATCTACTTTATGTTTTATGTTCATTACATATATAACACAGTGTATATTTACATATACTGAATGCATGGACGCAAGTGAATTTCTATATTTAAATAAAAACTTTTGTGTTATTACAGTTTCAAATACCTTAAAAATGTTCATCCATCATAAAATCAATAATTCTTAAATATCATATTTGTGTTTTTTGGTAAGTTAACTTTAATAATTAATTAAATTAAATAATTAAATTTTTTAATAGAAATTCTATTTACTATTAAATACATTTACGATTTTTTTAACAAATAATCATAGGTGCAATTTGAGGAGAATATTTAAAGGGGCTTAGTTTCACTAATTCTATTGCAGCTCCCTCTAAAATTATAAAAATTATTTTTTATTTTATATAGACATATTTTTAAGGAGGGTTAAATTAAGTTAGATGCACAAACATTTTGTTGAAATTGCACTATTGTAAAAAATCTAAATGAAAATGATTAATTATTTAAAGGGAAGTTAATTAATATATTCTCAAGTTCTTTATCTGCAGTGAAACGTCACAAAAACTACGACTTATAAAAAAAAAAAATTGTCTTATTCATCGTAGACGGGATCAGCATTACGAGACAAGTCGGTGTTTATTTGTGACTTACATACGCCCACGTGCCATCAATTATACATATTTTTATATTAATTTCACTTTTACTGTCAATCTTAACGTTTAAGCAGCTTATTAAACTTTTGGTAAGATAAAATAAACTTATTTTATTTTAATAGTAAACTTAATATTGTGATTCCTGTTAATAATAAATGGCCGCATACCGATTCAATCTATTATATTTTTTAACACTAATAAAAAGGTTGTTTTATACTTCAGGTTCTCCCCAACTAGTACCCACTCCTCTCTTTTTATGCGTCTCTGAATATATANTACGATTTGTGATCTTTTGACATATTGTTCATCAAAATCGGTCCAGCGAGAGCTGAGATTGAGCGTTCACAGACACAAAAAAAAAAAATAAAAAAACACATCATAGTAAAATTAATACCTTCTCAGCTTCGCATCGAAGCTAAAAAAACTCTTACTAAATTTATTAAATCTCCGTGAAATTTAAAGTAAAGTTTTTAAGATATATGTAATTAAGAGAAATATTTCTATCTATAATAGCAGAAAAATAGAAAATTATAATTTTCTACCTAAGAAAAATAATATCTCTATTTATTTGTTCATAAATACTTTTTATATTTTATTAAAATAAATAAGAATAGCAATGAGACTAAACTCATTAAATTCATTACTGATTTTATTTAAAAATATATTAAATAATATTATAAATTTTCGTTAAATAACAATTTTTTATTAATTTTTAAAAAATATAACACAACAATAAATCATATTTTTATCTTGTCGATTTAGCCTTGGATTTATTTTAAAATATCTGGAGACATGTTATTTTTTTAACCAAATGAGTTGATATTTTTATAATGTTTAAATCAACAAATTATAGCAAAAGTTCTAGTAAATTATTGAGTTTCTAGAAGACAAATTTCACGTTAATGAAACAATGCACTATTTTAATTTAAATGAAATATTTTACTTTTCCATAAAACATTCTTCAATATTTTTATCAACTTAAAGACTTTAATTTCACGAACTGAAAATGTTCACGATTATTTTATTCGAACTTACACATTATAAAATTGTTTGCATTTTCATAGTTCGAAAACAATAGTAGAAATTAATTCTATAAAAAGTTTAACATTTACATTTTTTATTTATCTTTCCATTAATCAAAAATCTATTTTAAATATTGGTTGATAAATTAAAAGAAAAATATAAATTTAAAACACTTATTTTACCTGCATACCTATATTCTTTTATTGCTCTAGAAACAAATTAAAGTTATTTATTAACATTCTAAATAATTGCCATTAACTTGCAATCCAAATATTTGATTTTCTTCTCGAAAAACAAATTCTTGAGTTGTCAGGAACTTTATAACTATAATTGTCTCAACCTTTTTATCTTATACTGTATTTTTATATTTATCAGATTAGACTTTTTTTTTGATAAAATATAATTTATTTATTTGGGTTATTATATTTATTAGTAATGGGCATTTTCGAATTGTTTTTATGCAACCGAATAGCTAATTACATAGGCTATAAAAAATAAATTATTTTCAATAATCCATCATGTCGTAAATAATATTTAAATAGTTTGCTGACATACTAATATATCGTGAAGGAGTAATAATGCATACCGTAACATTGAAGTCATCCTTTGGATTCAGGCCCACTTGTAAAAATTTTCTGTCGCTGCACGCAATAGTGTAACTACTTGAGTCAATCATCGGCTGGCGGTGTTGGTGCGATGTAAATGTAGCGCTGTTTTCTTACAGGTTAGGCAGCCATATTGTTCATAGAATAGAGTCTTCATAGAGCTGATGGTTTTTGATGACACTGTGACTTTATCAACGATTTCACGCTCATTTATGCGGAAAAATGACATATTTTCATTGGGGGATCAATAAATTACAGATCACATATCCCCGTAAACTAACCCATTCCTTCACCACTTAAACATTTTTAACTCATAATTGCTTATTAATTGCAATTTAATAATTTCTAAAAAATTATTCATTTTTCATAGCCCCTCTTCTTATGTACCCCCACATGTAGATTAACCCCCATACTTGTGATATCTGTCATGAGAGAAGCACCTCCATTATACTCTTAACCTTGGGAAGAGAGGCCCTATGCCGTTCACCATATCCCACCAGCCGTTTACACCTCCCGTCTACCTATGGCAGGGTAAAACCACATCTTGTGGGTTGAGGGGGTCCTTATTCATACTTTATATTACTACTGCTACCGTATGGGTTTAAAAAATATTCGAATAGTTCTACCTAAAATTTTTATTAAGTGCACTTAATTATAATAAGATCATTAGGAATACTCAAAATAAATTATTATTAGTGAAGGACATTTTTTAATATTTCTAACTATCGAATAGTATTCAATAAGCTGTATAGTTTATTTTTAGCATAAACTATAAAATATTTTTACTATCCGAATACTTTTCGAATGAACATTTTTTGGTCGCTCAACATCAGAAATGATATTTCATGATCATAATATTTTTTTAATTAAAATAGTGCTTACTAAATATTATTAAAATAGATCATTTTATACATGTCACTATAATTATACTTGTATAAATAAATATAAATTGAATTTGGAGAAGCTAGGTAAGGGTCATGGTAAACATATTTGGGCTTATGCTCTCTTTATCTATATGTCTAATAATACATGATTACAGTATGTTGTTCACAATACAATACAATGATTTGTGTTGTACAATATTGTATGTAACAATATAACAGTAAGTTTTTGAATTATTATAAATCTTTAAAAATTACAGAAAATAATTATCATTCTTTAAATAAACACAAAAGATATAATTAGAATATTAACAATAAGTTAATAATGATAATGATTTTAAATAATTTATGTATTAACTATGAAATTCTGTTAATATTTCTTGATTTTTGATATTTAATATACTATACCTGTTACTTTGTCAAACAAATTTTGGGTCAAATGAATCAGAAATATTGTTTAATAAACATCTCTTAAGTATACTTTATAAACAATTTTCAGTGTAGATTATCACTTAACCTTTTAAAAAATTTATATTTAAGTTGTAAATTATCAATTTTTAACTATAAAATTCAATACTATTATAATTAAATATTATTTGCTTGTCCGAGTTAAAATGTAACTTTCATTAGTCAAACCAATCTCCAAATTCATTTTCGAGGTTTTGTACATTATCACCTGCAACAGGTACTGATTTATCATCTCCTTGTCCATAAATATTATCTTGAGTGTCACTTTTTTCTTTTTGTTTGTCTTCTGGTTTATCTTGTGTATTGTTAGAAGGTTCATTTGTATTTTTTTTAAATAGTCCTGTGACAGAACTTAATAATGATAATGGATTAAAAGTTGATTGGCCTCTAAAACAAAAGAATAAATATTGAATCATTAAAAAAAATGTTATTCAAAACGGTAAAAATATAATTAACCTCACACACGATTTTTTTTTATTCTGATTAAAAAAAAATGGTGAATAATAGTAAAAATGTTATGGCACTTAAAAGTTTGTATATAAGACTGTTATTAGATCATGCACACTCCATTAAAAGTTTTTCTAATATAGTTTTTGTTAACAATTTAAAAAAAGAAAATACTCAAATTAAGAGTACCTTTAACTAAGATTGTAATTTTATCAATTCAGATGCCTCTATTGGTTTTGTCTTTAAGTTCAATTTTTTGGCGTTGTTCAAAATAGTGTGCATTTTACACACAAAAATTATAACGAATTCTGGGATCACCTACGCCCGTTTCCGATGACTGACTTGAGCTCTTTAATGACTTTTGTGGGATAAGGATTGTTGACAATCTATGTATATATATCATAATCTTTTTTTTGTTATCTAATAACAGTCGGCCGGCCTTTTGGTATGCCCGTCAGTGTACGTTCCACCGCCAAAACTAAGGCGACGCGCTCTTAGATCTTTTTTTTTTTAATTATTTATTATGTCAGATTGAATATGTGTTTTAAATAGTAATTTATGTCAATTTTTTTTGTTTATTGTTTTGATTAAATATTATTAAAATTAAAGTACAATTAACAAATTAAAAATATAGAGCATTCTGTTATTGAATATTAATACACCGCTCGCCCTATCATTTGGTCCTTACGAACACGATTGTTTAAAATTGAACTGTCTAATAATTATTAGCATTAATAGGTGCTATTTCAGTAAATAATAAATTTAGTTCGTTCGTTTTTTAGTTCCCGTTTAGTTCGAATAGTGTTTCGCGAGTTCGTACGTAATCGACGCGTAGGTGCTATATTCGGACAAAGAAAACGGAATTACTGGCTGTAACCAAATATAGCTAAAGCGTACAAAGTGTTGTTATCATCCGCAGCTGTCAATACTGGCAGAGAAGTCAAGCAGCTGAAGAGGGGTGTTAAAGTCTCAGCTAACCAAATTTATGACCTATCTCAAAAATTTCAACAATGATAGCGATATCGAACAATTAAAGTTACAAAAGCAAAAGGTTGAAGAAAGCTGGGACGAGTTTCAAAAACTACAGTCCGAAATCGAAGATAAGTCGTCGGAACAAGATGACGAAAAATATAGAGATAACTTTGAAAATGATTATTTCAAAGCACTTGCTTAATGTAGCACAGTGATGGAAAAATACAACAAGGTAAATAAGCGAGAAAGTGCGACTTGGTCCCAACAATTAGCCAATTTGCCAGTACCAAACAATAATGCGGCTCCATTCTTGAGATTAGGAAATTATGAAGTACCTGATTTCGACGGTGAATACAAAAATTGGTCCACATTCAGTGATTCATTTTTAGCCTTTATCGACTCGCAGCCAGGAATCCCCGACATACAAAAATTCTTTTATTTAAAAAAGGCCTTAAAAGGGAAAGCTTGCGAAAGCAATCCAGTAATTTATCATGACTGAAAATAATTACAAATAAGCGTGGAAATGTATTAACGACCGTTTCAATAATGAAAAAATTATAATTCAAACTCATACAAAGGCTATTTACGATATAGAGGCAATTAAAAGAGAGTCAGCTTCTGAAAAATCGTCTCGTGTCTCCGAATAAACATAAATAATACGTATTACTGGTCTGATTCGACCATCGTGTTAGCATGGTTGAGCTCCTCTCCAACTCGTTGGAAAACCTTTGTCGCCCACCGGGTTGGCGAGATCCAAGAAAATAGTGCGGCTGATCAATGGAAGCATGTCAATCAAACAAACAAAATCCAGCTGATCTTATTTCACGTGGGTGTGACGTAAAAATGTTACTAGACAATAATTTGTGGTGGCAAAGCCCTGAGTTCTTGCAGCAAAAATCGCCCATGTGGCCTAAAATTTCAAGGAGCTATGACATGTGTGTGGAAGAAAAGAAAAATGTTATGGTTGTAGTAGCTAAAAATCAAGAGTCGTCAATAACTGAACGATTTTCGTCGCTACCAAAGTTATTAAGAGTAATCTCGTATATAATACGGTTCAAATCGCCGTCTAAATTAAATTCCATCAATGTCAGTAAATCCGAGATAAGGGAAGTGTTAATTAAGCTTATTAAATTAGAGCAGAAAAAACATTTCGTCGAAGAAATAACATGCTTGCAAAAAGGTGTTTTTATTAGTGGTCGCAGTCAACTCAATAAATTAAATGTGTTTTTAGACGAGCAGCAAATAATACGCGTTAGTGGCCGGTTAAATAATTCGGTTGTCGCGAGTAGGGACAAAAAAAATTCAATACTACTACTATCAAAGTCCAAGCTAACTAAATTAATTTTTGAAAACGAGCACATAAGATTGCTACACGCTGGACCACAAGCATTGTTGTCGTCTTTACGAGAAAAATATTGGCCTTTGAACGGGCGAAATATTTCCAGATCCACGGTAAATCAATGCATCGCTTGTTTTCGTTCGAGGCCGAACGTGTACCAGCTCATTATGAGTAACTTACCGAGCTCACGCGTGGGTGTGTTCAAACGTGGTTTTTTGCAGCAGGCGTAGATTATGCTGGGTCAATCAATATAAAAAGTGGACTTAGAAAAAACTCGCCTATGGTAAAGGCGTACGTCTCTTTGTTTGTTTGTTTTTCGTCAAAGGCGGTTCACCTAGAGCTCGTCAGCGATCTCACAACGGAGTCGTTTTTAAATGCGCTTAGGAGATTCTGGGCCCGCAGAGGAATGAATAAATACATGTACTCAGATAATGCCACAATTATGGTACATGCGAATAGAAAATTAAAGGAATTAATAGAGCTGTTCAAGTCTAAGGAACACGTGGAAGCTGTAAACCGCTGCTCTGCTGCCCTCGGTGTCAAATGGTGTTTATACCAGCGCGCAGTCCACATTTCGGCGGTCTATGGGAAAATTCCGTGAAATCCGTTAAAAAACATTTAACAAGATCGTTTGGTGAGGCCTCATTAAGTTACAAAGAATTATATACCGATCTTGTGCGAATTGAAGCATGGTTGAATTCTAGGCCTATAACGCTCCTATCTACTGATCTGTCTGATTTAAATGCATTAACTCCTGCTCATTTTTTGATCGGTGGTTCTTTGACGGAAATACCCGAACCGGACTTAACAAAAATAACTCCTAATCGTCTGAGACGATGGCAGCGGGTAACTCAGTTGACACAGCAAGTTTGGAATCGATGGCAAACCTAATATTTGTCTACGCTTCAATATAGGGCAAAATGGACAAAATCGGCGGGAGCTGTTCCCAAAGAAGGTGATTTATTCTAATAAAGGAATGTAACTTGTCTCCACTTCAATGGAGGCTAGGAAGAATTTCGATGATTTTTTTTTGGGAATGACAACATTGCCAGAGTAGCTATGGTGGAAACAGATAGAGGGGAATTCAAGAGGGTAGTCCGAACCTTATGCCCTTTGCCACTCGATGAAGAGTCAAGTTGTAGAATGTTGTGCATTAAATATATTATGTAAAATAGAATTGTCTTTCAATTAATTAAACAAGTATTTTTATTAATTTAATTTTTGTTTTTTTTTTTGTAAATTCGAATATTGTAATATTAATTTACTTATTTAATTATTATTATTTTTCAAATGTTATTTTAATTATTTAGTTTTTTTTTTATTATTATTATTATTTTACCTGTATGGTAAAATGGTGGCCGGTATGTTGACAATCTATGTATATATAACATAATCTTTTTTTTGTTATCTAATAATAGTCGGCCGGCCTTTTGGTATGCCCGTCAGTGTACGTTCCACCGCCAAAACTAAGACGACGCGCTCCTAGTTTTTTTTTTGAATTATTTATTATGTCAGATTGAATATGTGTTTTAAATAGTAATTTATGTCAATCTTTTTTGTTTATTGTTTGGATATTAAATATTATTAAAATTAAAGTACAATTAACAAATTAAAAATATAGAGCGTTCTGTTATTGAATTTTAATACACCGCTCGCCCTAACAAGGATCTTAAAGTCATGTGAGAGCTAAACTATATATATGCCCAAAAAAAGATATTATAAGTAACCTGATAATAAATATCACCGAGATTTTAACTAAAAAAATTGTGTAAATGTGATTGTGATAAGGTGTTAATTTTATATATTACAACGAATATATCTATATTTAGTCCTAATAAAATATTAATATTTTCGTGTAAGTTAACAATTGTATATTTGGGGTGAAATATAAATTAATAATGAACTCAAAAATTGAATAGCTCTTAATTGTTAATTTATTAGAGATATTACTCTATCTCAAATTTTCTCTACATAACCTAACATTAAGAGTAAATTATTTCAATCAATAAAATAATAAAAAATCTATATCCCTAATGTCGAGGCTTACAATTAAAAATAATTATTATATCGCTTTATCAGCCCATTAAGGGCCATGGCGGCCTCCCCGAAAAAAGGAGGTTTCTTAATCATTTATACACCGGGACGGTTAGTTGGTCCGTCGCCGGAGAGAAGAATGGCAACTCTGGGCGTTCATCGTTTCCATCAAATCTGATAAGGTAAGTTTTTTGTTTCGGCCAAACGATAGTTTATACATATCTATAAATAGAAGCTTGAGAACCACTGGTTAAAATATTTGCCAAAATAACCCGATAATAATTATCTACTATTCATTTAATCGAACTTTTTACTATTTTTTTATTGTTATTAGATAGCAGTGCATTGATAATTGTGAATCATTTCATTCAGATTTTAATGAACAATTTTTAAGGCGCATCCTTCTATTAATATATTTTTACGAATTTTAATAGAAAATATTTAGTCTTATAATTACATTAAAATATATAGTTTTGATAATGCAGTCTCAAAAAAGGTACGGAATAAAATTGATATCCGTTTCAGAAAAACAAAAGAGACAATTGATAAATTTAATAACAATGAAATTAGCCGATTTGAATTTGTGAAAATAGTTTTCAACAACTATCAAAAAATTTATAGATCATAGATCTATTTTTTATTATATTATTACACGTATTAGATATTTTTTAAGCTTATTATTAATATTTGAATTTTGTTATATATACAGGGGTGGCCCACCACTCACTGAGAACTTAAATCTTAAATACAGGCCTGAACGTAACATTCAATAAAAACCAAACAATTTGGTACTGGCAGCTACCTAACCTGACCATATGCTAAAACCGATACTGGATTGTCGTGGTGACCCATAGATAAAACTAAATGGTTCTCAAACTTTTTAGTAGATAGACAGGTAGAAAATTAGTTTGGCGGAAATGATAATCTCCCGCGACTCCAATTACCGAACTGATCTCTCATTCGGCAAATGAAGCCGTCCGTGACCGAGTTTCGAACCCGAGGCAGTGCGCGTCTAACACTGCCGCGTTACCGACTATATTAAAAATAAAGAAAAAGATATAAGGCATTGAAGAAAACTATTATCAACAAAACAATGCTCATTTCTAAAGATACTTTTAAGAAAATTGGTATAGTAAATTTCAGTAAAATAAAGAGTCACAAATTATTTAAAAACAGCTTCGTTTTTGGTAAAGATAGAATAAATATGGAATGTCGTTCAATTATACATTGTTCTAACATACAATTTAATAGATATCATTTACTCGCTGTGTATTGTGTAGTCTAAGCTACATTTTTTAAACCAATGATTAATATTATTAATTTTGTATTCCAAATAAATAATTTGGTCATACAGTAAAATTTACCCTTTAAACATTGAGGCCATTCCCATTAGTGATTCGAAAAAGGCTTTTGAACCTGGTCCAGTTAATTCCGATAAAATAGTTGCAATGGAATTTAATGCAGTTTGACCACTTGGACCAACAAACAAGTCAAATACCATGCGTATATCTGAATCGGATAATGGCAATCTGTCCAAAATACACCCAAGAGATTCACTAGATGCCATTACTTTCATAATGATACGTATTATACTGGCCATGACGTCGTCATCAGATGTGAATTTTTGAATTAATTGTGAAATTAGGTCAGTAATTTCGTCATCTTTGATAATATAATTAGCGATTGTATTGACGTCTTCGAATAGAGTTGTGTTGGTCCCCTTCTTATTAAAGCCTTTAATTTTTGATCCTTTTAATGAAAAATAGATTATTATAGTAACATCTATTAATACAACTCAGTGGCGGTTCGTGGGTGCTGGTGTTGGGAATTCGACTTTGAATATAAATGACCGCTAGCCATAGGTATAAAAAATTGTCAATTTAAATATAATAAAAAAAAAAACACAAAATACATACTTTTTAAAGGTTGCAGTAGGAAATAGAAATGAAAGTAATAATAATAGCGATTATACTATTATAGCAACCGATAACGCCGAGCACTTAATTCTAAAAATAAATTACCATAATAAAAATGTATATTTTTATTATGTATATTTTATATTTAGTAAAAATTTGTATACAATTGATTTTCTTCTTTTAATTAATTTTAGTAGGGGTGCGATCGTCTGGTCGTCCAAGCCACGAACCGCCACTAATACAACTCGTTTTTTTATACCTTCAGAATTAGAACTTATTTTCTGAAAGATGATTAGCATTAACAGGCTTAAAGTTAATTATATAAGGGGGAACTTTTAATTCAATATAGTCTCGCTTTTTTCTTAGGAAATTAGGTTATTTAGCTTTAGTTGTTGGAGAGGTGGGTAAGAACTAACCATGCACTTCGATCTATAGGTCCATTGTGCGCACCACTTACAGAATTATATTAATTTGGTTTCTTCACATAAGTGCTTTCGTGCAAAGTATTATTGTCATTATTTGTATAACTAACATGATATACTATGTATATATTCTTACACGAATAACTATATTATCATGTTTTGGATATAACATTTAATTATTGAAGTATTCCTGTCTTCCTTGCAATCACAATTTTTTTAAGTCATACTTAATTATAAGATTTTCTTGCAAAAATTATATTTTTTATTTTTGCGAAAATATTAAAATGTATATTTATTTTTAAACATATTGCAGTTGATGAGCCAGTACTTGAAAAACTTCTAACTGCTATCATTAATTCCTTCCATCGTCAATAGTCGGTTGTAGTGGTTACTGTTTCCCTCTGTTACCTTTTTTTATCGTCTCTTACAATAAGCAGAAGTTACTCAATAGGTCAATTCCTACCACAACCTACAGGGAAATAAAATGTAGTTATAACTTCCGAAATAATGGGTATAAAGTTGTCATGGGCCAGTCAATTATTTAATTAGTTAATTTTTTATTTTTAAGCTAGTTAAATATGTATATTATCATTAAAAAAATAAAGTTGACATCCATATAAGGTATAAAGATTGTATGAAAAATTACTATGGTTAATAAATCTAATAATATATGAAAATAAAAACATTAAAAATGATTCATTTAACCTAACTATTATTGTATGAGAAACCGAGTAATTATTAAAAAATTACTATGTATTTCGTTACCACAATTTATCATAAGTCATCGGTAGCTAGAACATTTTTTTTTTAAAGGGTTTCCTTCCATTTAATATACTTATTGAATTGTCATTAAAAGTTGCAAAAATTTACCCTGAAAATATTTATAACTAACACTTAAATCATTTTTCTTTTCGTATTAGTGTTAAATGGAGTGATTACCCTATCCTTCTTATAGGACTGTACCGTTTGATCTAAAATATAAATTTTCTATTTTGAATCCCTTCTGTGGGTTGGCAAAGTGTCAGACTTTTAATAAAGTTTGAACAAAATGAAAGGGAAATGCGTAAGGTGTTTATATAAAAAGAATTGTTTCGGCTCACCCATTAAAAAAAAAAAAACGGGAGCACATTGAGATTGCGGCACAAGGTGGGAATGAAATATTTGGGAAAATTATAATAATCATAACAATTATGGACAATGATAACTGTCAGTGATTAAAATCACTATCATAACAAACGTTTCAAAACATCAAATCACTCAAAATCGCAACTATTTGTTTTGTATTTTTATCGTAATAAATCATATAAATAGAAATCATAGCCGAGATATTTATATAATTCTTAGTGTTTCAATTGATATTACAATTCAAATATTCAGACCTTAATTAATTTTTTAATTATTTAAAAATAACCATAAATATCTTGATTAAAATGAAATTAAACAACACATCATCAGTGGACGAAATCATAAGTAAAACTAGGACAAGTCCGACTAGGCCATAGTTTGACCCAATATTTAGGATCCTTTTAAAATAATAATCGTAACACTTGACTAGGCGGAGTTACCACAAGAATAATATCACAAAATTGTTAAACGTAATTTATGATAGTATAAGAATTTTATATGAACCAAATAATATTAAGGCAAAAAATCCTAAACAATAATAAATTAACAATTATATTAAAAATCGTTAAGTCTATCGCTTTATCAATGTCAATAATTATTATGACTACCCATAAGTGATATTGTAAAAATATCGTTGAATATTGATTAGTAGTAATCAAACATTTTTTAATGCGCTCTAACTTCATTGATTTTACTATTTTTAATAAAAAAATTTTTTAACGAAAACAAAAAGTTTTATCTTCTATGGACACTATATAATAGAACCTATAGGTTATCGAATTGCGAGATAACTAAATAGAAAAAATTTGGGAGGGCTAATTTAATTTATCCTTCTAATATACTTATATAACTTGTAGATCAAGATCTCCTAGTTTCACTAGATCAAAACAAGTCATTGTAAACAATCCAATTTATTGGCCAAGTCAAACATAAAGGTAGAGCTTTTCTTATGCACAAAATTATAACAAAATCCTTCTAATTAATATAATAAATATTTATTACTATAGGAGACTCAAAAAAATGTTTAATTTTTTTCCACCTTTAAAAGAATTAAGAAAAGATGCAAAAAGTTATTTTGATGAACGGGTTCGAATTTCATTTTTCTCATTTACAGGGAATGAGGGAAATTCAATAACATTTTAAGGGTAATGTCTTCAACCCGATACAATTTTTGATCTTTTGACGTATCATTAAAATAAATCTAGTCTATGAGGGTTGAGAAAAAGTAGTGACTGGCACAAAAAAAAAAAAATAATAATTAACACGTCATTGTATAATTAATATTATGAGCTTCGCATCAAAGCTAAAAATTAGAGGGAGGTAAAACTAAATATAATAAACCCTTCTAAAATATTATAGAAATTGTGTGTTCGATTTAAGTAACATATCGCACCCCTAGATGTAAACTGTTGTAACTCAAAAATGCGATTTTTGAGATGTTTATTTTAGGATTTCTGATTCTATTACCTACATGAGAATAAAACCGTAGTAACTATATCTTGTTTGGATTCCTCTAAAAAGCACTAGAAGATAGTTTACTTGAATGACAGCATACAAGTTTCATATCAGTTTTTCTTGAATTGTGAAAAAAGAGGTTTTTTGAGTTACAACAGTTTAGATCTAGGGGTGCGATATATAATAGCTTATTACTCTTATTTAAAAATAAAAATAGAAATCAATGATTTATTAGTATTATTATACACAGTAACACGGCTCAATAAGAGCCATAGCAGCTCTATTGAAGAAGAGGTTTCTTAATTATCAATACTCTCGAACCGGTTGTTAATCCGTGTCCCCTAAGAGAAAAATGGCGACTCCAATTATTTAACTGATCGCTCGCTCAGTAAACGGAGCTTCCAGTGACCAAATCTCGAATCCAATACAGTAGGTATCGAGCACTGACGCGTTAAGGACTAGGCTACAGACATCGTCTCTCCATTCTAAAATTACTATTTTTTTACTTTATTGTAAATATACTAACCAGCGTATTCTAATAGAAGTTTTATTATTTCTGCATTTCCTGATTTTTTGTCCAACTTAGATCTTATCTTTTGTAAGCCTATATTTGAAGCCAAAATGCTTAAATCGTTTGCTTCAGACATAACGTTTATTCCACTATCAACAATGTTTGCTACAGTATTTACTACAGGAATTTTTAATTTATTGTGCATATTTTTGTGTGCACCTGAACCTTTTCTGACTAAGCTGTAAGCGCTTGTCGATATACCATTATACGTGTCAAGACCAGATTGCATCAGACCTACGCCTCCTCTGGCTAAATTTTTCGCTAAAAGAGATGAATTTCCCAGCATATTGTTAAAAATGTCATTTGAATGAGGTCTTTTTCTCTAATAAATAAACATATTACTTTCGATAAAATTAAAATTTTTTTAGTAAAAAAAATCTTTATCCTTATATGCAATATATGTTGTATGTTTTAAAATATATTATGTTTTAAAACCTTAAATCATATGTATCAGAGATATAACAATTTTACGGACTTAGAAATCAAAAACCTTAGTTTCAAATTTTCATTTTCAATATATTTGTAAGAATAAAAAATACATTATGATAAGTCAATTTACCCAAATGCTCTCAGAATATAATTAATTTTGAAATATTTATTTTGGTTACATGTAATTCTGGAAATATTTGCTACGTAAACTTTTTAAGTTCAACCTTAGGGTTGAATATAAAAACTGAAGATGAGTAGTGTGCCCTTCTATTTTTATCACTTTTCGTTTCCCTTTCGTACTCTTCGTCCAGCTTAGGTATAAAATTGAGAGAAATCTCTGAAGTACTTGTCCAAAAGTTGTAATCAACCAGTCTTTATTTTATTTATATTATTTTTTACTTTATAAGCTAGTTAAATATGTATTTTATCACTTGAAAAACTAAAGTTGACACCCATTTAAGTTATATGTGATGATCCAAAAAAGAAATTAATAGCTAATAAATTAAAAAAATTATGTGATCATAAGAAATTAACAACTTTTTTTTTTCAATATTGTAATTTTTTGCGAGTAATCGAGTGATCTATGATAAACTGATCATCTTGTATTTATGAGTTCTAGAATGTAAACATAAGGTATATCTCCCGTTATTTCATAAAAACATTATAGAGGTTAATTTAAGATACATATAAGAGTGTCAGAGTTTCCGGAACACTTTCAAAAGTTAAGTTGGAAAGCTCTATATTTTATATAAGCATTTTTTAGATTTGAACCCCGACCCCCCAAATATAGTGTAATGGTCCGATTTTAAAAAAGTATGTCGAATGGAAAAGGGATATAAATATTATTTCTCATAAAAAAATTGTGTTGATCCATACACTTTTCAATAAGTTATAGCATTATAAAGTTAAAAATGTAAAAAACAAAATCGAGAATTTTCACACAAAAATAGCATTTGGTAACTATTTTCACCGTGAAGACAAAATAAAATCCAAAATTTGTTTTTTCCGTAATAATGTAAATTACATTAGCTTTAATTTAAGATGTATATAAAAGTGTCAGACTTTCTGGAACACTTTCAAAAGTTAATTTTAAAAAGTAAATTTTTTGTGAAAAAGTTGTCATTTTAAATCCCCCCCTGTAGGCAGGTAAAAGGTCAGATTTATAAAAAAAATATACAAAATAGTAGATAAAACAATCAAGTATCTATATAAAAAAAATTAAAAACGTTCGATAATAAGCGATTTTTAAATTTGTAATTTTTTGGAGGTTTCCTCCATTTACGGAGAACGAAGGATATTTTTTGAATTTTTGAGGGTAATGTTTTCGATTATATACGATTTGTGATCTTTTGACGTATCGTTGAAAGAAATCGGTTCGGTGAGAGCTGAGAAAAAGTGCACCCAAAGAAAAACCTCAATCAAAATTGAAAGAGAAATTTTATCAAGGGTTTATGATAATATTTTATTAATACGAACAAAATAACTATTCTTATAAATAATTATTGTTCAAGACAAGAAAAAAAAATATCATATTGATAAATATATCATTGATTCAATAGTAATGATATATTTATCAAATTGAACAATGAATTTATTATACAGATCGAGGTTTTTCTCTGGGTGTGGTAACAGACACAAAAAAAAACACATCATAGTAAAACCAATACCTTCTCAGCTTCGCATAGAAGCTAAAAGTAACATTCTAATACATTAGTAAAAAAAGCTTCCATTCACGGGTTTCAGTTTTTTTCAATATTTTTTAAAATGACAATTCAAAAGTCGAATAAATTCATATTTTCTGCAACACATATTAATAATTGATTTTAGAAAAATTACAACAAAAAAGTTGCCGTTAATTATCGTTTTGTATGAATAACAGTAATAGTACTGAAATAAGTACAACTCGTTTTATGTCTGCGAGTATGCCACCAATGTTTTTGTAACCAACTAAGACGATAGACCTACGCTTACGCACATTTAATTCAATTTACATATATTTACAATGAAGATACCAATTGAAAATTTTAAATTAGTAATTCAAATAGCAGAAGATGCTAATTCTCTCAGAAATATTTCACTAACAATAAATAAATCGCAAGTTAGTTAAATCACCAGCTTTCAGTCCATACGGATTTTCTCTAGTATAGTAATTTTTTTATCTGTTATTTATACACATCAATAAATTTATGGAAACGTTTTTGTTGTTATTTTTCTAAAATTGTTTAAATAAATACAAGTAAAAAAAAAGTACAAAAAATGTCAAAATTTACCAATTTTAAAAATCGTAATTTTTTGAGGGATTTTCACCTTTATAGGAACGAGGAAAACAATTTTAATTTTTGAAGGTAAAATCTTCAATTAGACACGATTTGTAAAATTTTAACGTATCGTTGAGATAAATCGATCCGGTGAGAACTTTGAAAAAGTTGTGACAGACACAACAAAAAAAATAATAAACACATCATGGTAAAATTAATACTTTCTCAGCTTCGCATCGAAGTTAATAAAATAATTTGTATATATCCTTTATTTTTCTGAAAACAATTATTAATATATTTCTGAATAAATGTTTGTTGAAAATATGAAGTTATTCAACTTTTGAATTGCCATTTTATGTTATTGAAAAAATCTGACAACCAGCGTATGGAGACTTTCTGCACGTGTGAAGCTCATACATTAATGAGGACCCGGATTACCTACCATCCCTAAATCCGGTCTTAATTATTATTTAATAGTGACTAATTAGTAATGTAATAATATTATTAGTAATAATAGTAGACATCGTAAAAAGAAATTAGCTACTTGGCATTGAATCTACTCCAATATAATACATATATTTAAACTTCAAAAATCGAAATTTTAAGTAATAAACGAAAAATTTTTATTTAAAAATATAAAAAATGTTCGATGTTATAAAATAAAGATAGTAAGTCTTTGTTAATTAAAACATCTAAACTATATACTTCTATTTGAAAAAAATTAAGTTGACACTTATCAACTATGTATGTGGAATGAACTTAAAACGTATTACATAAATATTTATTTTTAACATTCTCTCTAAAAGTTATTGTTTAATTCAAAAATTATATGTATCTTAAAGTAACCAAAAAAAAATTCAAAATTATTTTTTTCTGCGAGTAATTGAGTGGTTTATGATAAATAGTATATAAATATGTATATAATATAATTGTATAACTGGTAAAAGCCTGAATGCAGAATATATTTTTTTAATAATATTTTTGTCGGGTAATATCAAATTAAAATTTATATAAATTACCTTTCTTGGAGGAAACATAACAACAATTGGTTTCCTATTTGACCCCTTTTTAGAATGATTTTGTGTTCTAGTTTTATGACTATTTTTAATTTTATCTGTGGCTTTAATTTTGCTATTAGTATTATCCTTGACTTTAGATTTGGTTTTATCTTTAGCATTTGCCCTAGTGTGTTTTTTTTTACTCTTAATTGTTATCTTATCTTTAGTAATTTCCCTATTCCTTATTTTGCTTTTAATCTTATCTTTTACTTTGACTTTAGTCTTATTCTTTGTACTGGCTTTATTTTCAGACTTTGTTTTTTTTCTACCCTTAATACTGTTTTTAGTCTTAAATTTAGTCTTCGTGGTGTTTTCTGAAGAAATCGTAGTGTCTATCTTGAGTTTAGAATTCTTATCAAGAAATTTAATTGATCTTGATCGGTTTCTCGATACGTTAGTATTAACATCAATAGGGTGTTTATGTTGATCTTGAACAGCCAAATCATTCTGTAAACAAGAATTCTCATTTAAAATGTTTATTATGAATTAAGATCAAATTAAAAATTAATGTATGCGTTTCATTTTGTCTTTTAATGTGTTTTTAAATAAACATTTTAATATATAATATAAACATTTTGTTTATATCGCTTTATATAAATCTTATAAATAAGATAAAAAAATCAATAATATAAATTAGCAAATTCAAATTAGCATTATTTAATCCTAATAAAGTAACAAAATTCTCAAGATTTTATCAAAAATAAACTATCATTTGATGCAATGGTGAATCCAGGAAGAGGGTGCAGGAAGGCACTATAATATACAGTGTTGAGTATATCAAGTACCATACAATTTTATATGATCAGAATTCTAGGTTCATATTTATAATTAATTCTTATAAATAATTTCTGTTAAAGCTTTTCTTAAGCATGTTATTCATACAGTTTAGTGACAACTTATTTATAAGAATTAGAATTAAATCTTAAAATATACAATTAATACTCCTGTTAGCTCAAAGAAATTTTTATATAATATATAAAATAATTTTATTTATTATATTATAAAAAATTGTAGGCCTTAAAATTAATTTTGAATTAAATGATTCTAAAATTATTTAACACTGCATAGAAGTAATCATAAGATTCTATTCAGTAATTTTTATTAAACACATCTAATACTATTGTACACTTTATCACATTAAAATTTATTTAAAATTAATTTTAGAAAAATAGTTTGATAGTACAAACATTAAATAATAATAAAACAAATGTAGGTATTTATTTTAATCATTAACTTAATAATATTAATATTATATATTTGTTGTTAACAATATTGCAAAATCAGACAACTGGTCAGTTTACTATCTCTGATAGACAAAAAAAATCTTCAAAAGTAATTAATGGTTATTATAATTGTATGTTAAATAATTAATACATTAACAGCTAACCTGAATCAGTAAAAGTACAACTGTTATTAGACAATACCGTAAAAACATTATTGAGTATTAACAGCTAAACATGAACAATCAGCTAATTTTGATGACTGTTCTTCATTGATTCTAGATAGCTGTGCAATCAACTATGTGTAATATTGCTATAGATGTACGCATAATCGTCAAAATTTGTTTTTTAGTGAGCATACAAATTAATTTATTACAATAATTATACCACAAGTGTTATTTTATAAACTTTTACAATAACTATAATAGATACATGGTCTTGTGGATAATTAACACATATCAATATTTGATCAATACTTATTTCAATAGAGTATAATTCTACACTGTAAATGAAGTTAAAAATTAATAATATGATAAGCATGTTACACAAAGTGTTTTTGTAAATTTTCAGAGTGACACAAACACCTCTTTCGTCATACGTTACACGGTTGAATGGGTAATAAAAAAACGTCCTAAAATTTTATTGCTAAAATTATATTTTAGTTCTTATCAACTCTAAATTCAGATTTTTGTAATTTAAATAAAGTTTTAATTTGAATATTGCATTAATAAATCTTATGATAAAATCTTTAATTTAGTTCATAACAAAATTACGATAAAATGTATATTTCATGGTTTAAAAAGGAAAACTCTAAGTTTTGTTTTTAAGGGATATACATAAAAAATCTTTTTATTACGCTCTCCAAACAAAAAGAAATTTTAGCTACATCATTTTTACTACAGAAATCTATTCCCACTATAATACATTTTATCTTGGCATAAGAGATCCACAAATTATAATTATTTTAGTAATGATTTCCCAAAATCTAGTGCCTGCACTAAATACGTCCCTTGCAACACAATATGCAATGTAATTTTTCTAATTAAAAATATGTTCTATGTTAACCATTGATTTTTATTAAAAAACTGAAATTTGGGCAGCTAAATTATGAACAAAATGTTATTTTAATTTAGTTATATAGCTGAAAATCTAATTGGATTTACTTTGATATGTTTTTATTATGATTATTATTTTTTTTTTAGTCAGTATACAAGATTATTCTACTGCAACTGAACTGATTTTTCTCAAAAGTACGCCAAAAGATCACAAAACGTGACTAATTGTTTAATCTAAAGTTATCAGTGCCATAGTTTTGAAAAACTGTAATTTCTCTTTAAATCAAAGGAAATTATCTCTAACTTACAGTAGCACGGCCCAAATAGCAGCAGATGCGGATGTATCAAGTGCTCGATTTCTACATCTCCAGAGATTGCAGGTCTACCACTGTCATGCAGGTTTTTATAATCATAGCATACTTTTGTTGGTGGTTTTTGATCTTCAGCCTCGAGGACTGGATGAATCTTTTTTGTACACTGAGTAAAGATACCGAAATTTTCTCCTTTACTCTACAGTTGCCCGAATCGTAACATTTCTCTCCGTCACAAGCCAATACCAATCACCCGGTCTCTACGCTGGTGGTGATAGATTGGTATAAACTACCTCCAGTAGTTGCTTTACTAACATCATCGTTGATAGTTTTGTGACCTTTCTGCGTATTCATTTGATGACAACATCTGATGGGTTTTCCTTCCATTAATCCAAGGTCTATGAGGTCCGATTGGAAGTGAATTTATAAAGAAGATACATCCGAATATAATTCACTCTTGAAACTCTACCATTTATTCGACCACATGACGAGAGACTTATATGACGGCTCCTTGTATATCTACAGGGTTAACAAGAATCCAAGAGTTTTATTGTTCGCGACCGCTTATTTGTCAGTTTTCGAAAGAACCACAAAATTCGTGACTCATTTGTGTCGAATGCTTATAACAGTTACAGAGCAGCTTACATAATAGTCATGACTAAAAAAAGGACAGGGAGGTCGTTGAAAATCAGTTTTTTCAATTTTACTACAGAAACTACCTAAATTTGGATTTTGTAAGATTAAAGATACTTAAAGGTAAGGAAGGGAAAACTTAAAAAAAGAAACCATGATGATTTCATTATTTCTTAAAATCTATCAAACATAATAACACATACTTGCTAACATAAAAGCCTCTTGTGGTACACTGTGTAACTCACAAGTACTAATACTCGTACGTGTACGTTAATTTAAAAAATTCAATTTCGATTTAATTTTTGAATATCAAAACTTTTGGTATTAGTTTTCTAAGGTAAATATTTCAACATTCTCTAACAATATTATTTTTTAAGTTTTTCATTTTCAATAAAATAAAATCGTTATATATAACATGAGATAAATACGAAGTAGATATCTTTATTTCCAAAAACGATCTATATGATCAGCTAAAACGGATCAAATTTTGCGACTAGTTTGAGCGACATTAAATAGTTACCATTTTGTACAGACCAAAACACAAATCACATCCCCGAAAAGGAAGACCACAGGAAGCTAGCGACTTAATAGTTTCAACTACTCTTTTTAACACATTTCTCCAATATTCGATCTTATTATCTAATTGTTTAATCAATGTAGTATAAATACGCTCTATTTTTTTAAGGTAATAATAGCATCTCTATGCTCTATACTATTTTTTTTTTTGTGGTAACTTAAACGGTCAACAGCATTTTTCTAATCATTAAATACGTCAGTTACAAGTTGTGTTTTTAAAGATGTTTGAAATATACGACAAGGTCTACAAAAAACTACTCCTAAACTTGGAGAATAAACCAACCACAAACGAAAAATTATTTCTCTATTAATCATTTGCTTATTAAACATACTTTTGGTTAAATATCTTGCAGTATCACTGTATACACGTTTGGATTTAATGAAGCCGTTTGTTTTATTTTGTTTAATACCGTTTTTTTGCGACATAATCATGAAAATCGTCATTAATAACCCATTTTGCTGAGTCAGTCTTCAATATTAACGTATTAAAAATATAGTTTAAAAAAACTGAAAAACACGCTTTTAAAGTATATTGAACTAAAAAGTTCAAAATAATTTTAAACAATAATGAACGAAAAATACTAGTATTATTGTGATAAAAGCGTCGTGGGCGCTCAATATACGAAAAATATGGCACAAAGTACCCACGCTTTTATCACAATAATACTAGTATTTTTCGTTCATTATTGTTTTAAGCTTATTTTTAAAATTATTTTGAACTTTTTAGTTCAATATACTTTAAGAGCGTGTTTTTCAGTTTTTTTAAACTATATTTATTTTTTACTTTTTAGTTTTTTATGACATCGCTGTTACAGTCACGGAGAGTTAATTGTCAATTATGACTAGTAATGGATATAATTTCTGTATTGCCAGTTAGTGTGTTTATAAACTCACAACAATGTATCTTATTACCATTGATAATGAAGGCTATATGCTAAGGCTAATATCGTAATAAAAAACCAATAAGCTAACTGTAATTGTAATCCCTTATTTATTATACATGTATATTAACTCAAAAAAAATTGAATCTTTAAATGTTGATAACTAATAATAAACAATAAAAATTTGTTTATATATATATATATATATATATAATGTTGATAATACGCCCGCATGTACAGGTACGAAAACCAAAAATTATACAGGAAAATAGTGTTATCGGCGAGAGGTGAGCGGGGTGGGGTGAATGCGTTACGATAGTCTAGTCTCAAGTTCATAGACGACCTGATACGCGGAATAATATAAGACGTGCGCGTGGAGATTTACAAACACACAACATACAAGTGAAACTAAGTGTGTTAAAAATTATATTAGTTGAATAGGAAAACCTGCAACTATCTTCTCGTTCAATAACTTAAAAGTATTTTTTATTTTATTGTCACTAACCTGAGCATACGTATTCTCAACAATAATATTTGTTTTATTGTCACTAATTTTTGTACAAAAAGTAGAAGAAACTGTTTTGTTAAAAATGTTAGTTTACTTTGGTGTTTGATTTAAAACATTTTGTAGTATATCACTTTTTATTTTTGCAATTTTTTTACATTGGTCATCACTTAAACGTTTTCTATTTGTACTCGTGTTCATAAAATAAGAAAAATATTGAACAAAAAAATAAACGTAAATTAAAAAATGCACTCAATATGAGCTACGCGAACACTAGTTGAAATATGACAATAAAATCACCATATATGATTTGTTTTTCAAAACAGATTTGAAGATAACATTAGTCAATTTTTTTCGGTTTATACAACTCTACAGAGACAACGATAAGAAAGGTACTATACAAATTATAAACTAGTATTTTATTAATAACTTCTTCTATTGTTACCAGGAAATTGAAAATATATTTGACTTTGCTTATAGCTATTAATATACATTCATAAATACACAAACGAAAACAGTTATGATAATTATTAGGAGATCAATATGTCATAACAACATTAAAAAAAGAAACTAGTTTTTTATAAATTTTCCAAACATAAAAATTTGTCGGTCTCTACTTTTGCCACCCTTCAATATTTGCCGTTGTAGGCAGTTGCCTAAAATACCTGCATATAAATACGCCACTGCTTACACTGTGTTTTACATCCTTGTCAATACCACCATTCTTTTGCACAATTAATCCTTAACACTTAAAACTTTTCACCTCTCCTATCACGTCCTCGCCTATTGTCACTGATCTCATTTCGCTTACCTCGTATTCTCCTTTGTCAAACTTGTACTTTACATACTCTGCCTTACTCCTACTTAGTCTAAACCCTTTTTTTTAAGAGCTGATTTCCACACCTCTAGTCTTTGATTATTTTCCTCCCTATTTTTTCCTATTAATACTATATGTCAGCGGACAACAAGCACCACGGCATTTCTCTTTATATTTAGTAATTGCATCCATCACTATAGAAAATAAGTAAGGGCTTAAAGCAGGTTGGGTTATATTTGAAAAGGGAAGTAATATTGTTTAAATATATTATTATTTTTAGACATATGAAATATATGTTTTTAAGGTCACTAAATTTTTTCACTGTATATTTGCCAGGGATTGAAACCGGTTTTCTAAAAACCGATTGTAGTGTTACGCTACAGATTTTTTGCCGTTTTTCAGTTGTAAGAAAGTCCGTTCAACAGCGCTGTTAACTTTTATTCAAAAAAATATAATGTGATGTACTTTTTCTTTAATAAGATAAATAGTAATTATTGTAAACCTTTTTATGTTGCATATCAGTCCAAACGGGAACTCGCAATTTAAAAGATATAGAAATACACATTTATTTATTACAAAATATTAAAAAATAAAGTAATCAGTAAACAATTTATCTACACTACCCAAGTGGTGGCGGGCGGTATAAGGTACGCCCTCGTTTTTTATTGTGTTTAACTAATTCTATCTTCTTCTTTAATAAGTTGAAAATGAATATAATGATCTCGATTATTTTTGCCTACTAGATTAATTTAGAGCATACGCTGCTCCTCAGGGTAGGCTTTTCTTTTGTTTCTTTCCTCAAATCTCATTCCTTTAATATACAGAATTTTCAAATGTGCGCTCGTAACTAACCGTGATCAAAATTTTACGTATTAAAATTCATTTCTTAAAAAGTTAGTTAATCTTCAACGGTGATCATAACCTTCGTGTTATCAACCATGATCTAGATTACTCGTTTCGAATATTCCTTTAAATCTTTTGCAACGTTACATAAAACAACGGGTAAGAAATCGTGATCCAAAGGATTATTCTTCTCTCTTTACCTAAATTAATTAATTCTTAAAGTAAGACTGATATGATAGGTAATTATTTAGTATAGATATATTTGTTTATTTTAAAATAAAATTAAAATAAGTTGATTATTTGAGCAAAATTGTGTTGTGATTTCGTATTATTGGTAAATTTAAGTTAAGTAATATAAACTCAAAAGTGTACAAACGTAGAATCGTTTAACGATTAAAACTAATTAATTTTTGGTTTTTTTAACCATACACTACCCAAAATCGGTTTTTAATATCGAAACCGCAAATAAATCAATTAGTTTTAATCTTTGCAAGTATTATAATAGAAGTTAAAACCGCTTTTCTAGTTAAAATCAAAATCGATAAAACCACTTATAACAAAATTTGGTTTCTTAAACCAAAACTACAAATAAATCGAACGTTTCAGTCCTTCATGTTTGAAGAGACTTAGTTAAAAATTATCATAAGTAATAAACATGGGAAATGATGCAGGAAAAAATGATTAGATATCAAAGACAAATATGTATAGAGTAAGACACTCATTTCCACGAAATTTTGAGCTTTTCTTATAAATTTACTGTTAATAGTTAAATTAATTTTAAAGAATAATTTATTAAGGATAAAAAAGTCATTTTTTAGTTATTGAAATTTTTATATTTGAGTAAAGAATAAAATCTTAAATTTAATTATCTTAAATGGATATTTGTGTTTTTAATTTTTAATAATTGATGTTTTCTAATAGTCCCATATTCTTATTCTCGTATTAAACGCAAATTGACTATCGTAAATTGTCATATTTAAGAAAATAGAGAACTAAAATTGCATATATTTTCATAAAATAAAAAATATTAAAAATGTTGACTTTTAATTTTTTTATGTATATTTTGGTCTTTTAATGTATATTTAAGCACTAAAATTAGTATTTTTAAGTGCATATTAAAGCGATTTAAGTAACATTTTTATATGTTGTAAGTTATGAGTCTTGTTATCAAGTGAAATAATTATTAAATTTGATTTTAGTAATACTATAAAATTAAAAATAATAGATTTTCTTACAGTTGTTATAGTACATAGTTGAAATTTATATTTTATTTCAAAAAAAAAAAACCTTTTATATAGAGAATAAAATTTCATTATAAAAATTTATCTTTTATTTTTTTTATTTTTTAAGTAACTTACTATTAAATTTTAATAATTTATATGTTATTGATTTTGCTGTACACATAAAAGGTTTATTTTAATGGAAATATAAATTCTAACTATTCACTATAAAAACTACAAGGAAATCTATTTTTTTAAATTTTATAGTTTTACTAAAAACCACTTATTCAACTTATTAAAAACAAATTTAAAGCTACTTATTAAGCTAAAATACACGAAGAAGGTCCCATATTAAGTTATCAGTTAAATTAATGTAAAAAAAACTTATTATTTAAATTAAAAAATTATGCTAATTTATTATTTAACTTTTTAATGCCCGCTTTGTAAGTTGTTGACATTTTGTTACTATAGTAACGTAAACTACCTTTAAAAAAAAAGGTAATTTAGCATTGATGGTAATGTTTCTATAATTATAAGAAATTAGAATACTATTAATTTTGTTTCAATTTTTTAATATAAAAACATTATAAACATTGAAAATGTTTACTGATAGTCATGTAGATGTTGTTGGATTCAAACACACAGATTTACCAAAAAAAGAGTAAGTTCATTCATAGTACTATAATATGAATTAATGTTATATATATATAATATAACTACATGATAATTATTATGTAATAACAAATGAGTTAAATAAATAATTTAAATTCTCTGATTACTGATTGTTTTTTTTTAATTTTGAAAAATTATTCATAAAAGAAACTATTTTATTAAATTAAATCTTATATTTTAGAAAATCTGAATTTTCCTGTCAATGTGTAGGACTAGAATTAGTTGATAAGCAGTGTTCCACAACAGATGTTAAGAGTGTATTTGTAAGTAAATTATGATCTTCAAATAAAAGATAATTTCATAATTTGTACTTCAGTACAGGAAACAGGGGCTAATTTATACAGCTCTTGCTCTCGCATCAATATTTTAGATAGAGATGAAAAATGCTATAAAATTATTCATTTAAAAAAAAATTATTTAATTTCTGAACATTATATATTAAAAAAATAAATGTATTTTTCTAAATTATCAAATATGTATTTAGAAAAAACATGTTTTTTAAAAACCCTGATTTAGATAGAGCAGGTGTTATTTAGCATGAACTTACACCGAAGTCTTTTAAACTTATAGATAATAGGTTTTAATTGATAGTACTGAGTTAGTGGAGTGGAGTTATTTTAAGACCAATATAAAATTCTGATCTTAAGCATACCGTAGAATTTTTCTTTTTATTTCATGGTTCTTTTTGCTATTAAATGTTCAATAAAATAATAATTCATCAAACTGTTGATCAGGTACAAACTTATGAAGAAAGTTTAGATAAAATCAAAAATGTCGATATGATTGCATTAAATACTTCATTAAAAAAATGTCTCGAAATACTCAAAAATGATATTAGTTATTGGCCATTTGTTGATAACAAAATAGAATCAAACAATACAGATGTATTACAGGATGTGTTTTGGAGTGTATCTCTTCAAAAACAATTACATTTCAGTCAAGTAAACATGTTTCAATACAATTAATAGTTTTAATAATTTTTTAAAATTAATATTATTAAATTCAATTGAAATATTTAAGATGCAGTGATTAAATATTAATTAACTATTCATGAATATCTATTATAATAATTGGTGCACATACTGAGGTTATAGGGCTTACTTAGCACCCTTAAGTTTTTGATTCAATGTAAGTTAAAGTGGTTAAACTTAGAGTAATTAAATATTTTACAGATATCATTACTTAATTTTTGTTAATAATTATTTTGTGTTTCTTCGCAATATTTTTAAATATTTTATTAGTGCATTAAATTAATATGACTAAACCAACAAAATATGTTTTTAAGTTTAACCACTTCCCCAAGTTGGCCGATGTACAATTCTATGTAATAAATTTTATATAATACTATTTATTATTAAATTACTTTTTATTTAGCTTCAATTTAAAATGGTAAATGTATTGATTTTAATATCATTTTTCTACAATATACTTTAAAGAAAAAAAGCAAACTCATTTTTCAAATTTAACAGAAAAAAATAAGTGCAATTAGTTGGAATTGTAGTGGTGATAACTTGGCAGTAGCAACGTCTCAGCATAATCACTTAGAATGGTGCAATCATCTTAATTTTATTTTTGTTTACTCTATGACTGAGTAAGTAGTTAGTTGTTTAGACTTATTAAGAAATATGAACATTTTTACTAAAATTATTTATACAGTATAGCAAAAAATAAAAACATAATAGTCAATAAAATAGAAGTTACTTCATGTATTAACTGTTTGGCAACTCATCCGACAAATGAACACCTCATTACAGCTGGTTTATTTAATGGTAATTGAAAATATAATTTACAATAGTTCTCTTTGTTTAAACAATCGGTTCACAAGTTCAATAACTGAAGATACTTGTTTTTTTTTTTTAATATATTTTATTTTTAATGAGTTAACTTCTTGATTTTTGCATAATAGACTTCAATGTCTGAATGCATGGGTAGATTAGTAACGTTTCTATAGAGAGGGAACACTCATACAAAAATTGTTGGCCCAGTAAATTTATTCCAATTTGATTATTATATTGTATTTTTTTTTAAGTGAAATGCAAAAATAATATCGTAAAAATTACAGACTTCCAAATTTTTGGAAGTTTGTTTGCATCCCGTTAAAAAAAAAAATTTAAGACTGTTTCAAAGGTAATGTATGTAGCTTACCCCAGTAACAATAACTGTTTTAATGAATATACATTTTTCTATTTAGGTGAGATTTTAATTTGTAACACAGAAGTTTTTGATGGGTGCATGAATATTATTTCATTAGATTGGCATACACAAGTAGTTACTGAATCATTATGGTTCATAAGATCTGACTTTCGAGCCATATTAGTCACATCTGGTAATGATGGATACATATGTGTTGGAATAATAGTTGATAATAATATAAAATTAACTCAACGATTATATAGGTAAATACTTCTGAAAGAAATAACAACATTTTTAAAGGATTTTTTTTTTTTGTTAACTATGTGGTTTTATTAGAATATTCTTATAATTTAATAAAAGTATTTCAACAGTAAATTTATAGATAATTTAATAATTCATTTGGTACTAAATTACACTTAGTTTATTTCTAATTTATAGTTATTCTGGTGTGTCTATGCTTAATTTACTTAAAAAATAATTAAAGACTAATAGTTTGTTAATTTAATAGTAATGATATTGCAATTTTTTATTCAAGTACAATTCTAGAGATTAAAAACAATTTTGTAATAATCAGCTTCTAAACTATATAATTTTTTCCTAGAAAAATGAAAAAAGTGAACTTGTTTAGTTATTGCAACAAGCAATTTAAACATGTTTTAAAATGAAATGTTTTTTAACTTGTGGTGTATTTAAATTTGTGATATCTAACATATTTAATTTGTATATTACTTATTATTTTATGTCAGAATTGAATATGTGAGAATTTTTATATTCTATTTTGATGAATGTTCAATTTCAAAGAAATGTACTGATTACTTTTTCAGCAGAACAAAATTTATTTAACTTTTATTCTAAAATTTAAGAAAATATTATTTGAATTCATATCAAAGTTTTCTTTAACTTATACAAAATTTATGTTGAAGTAAAAATGTTATTAATATTTTTTTGTTATATATAGGTATTTGATAGGCTTACCTGATAAAATAGGAATTCAATGTTTTGATTTCTCAGAGAGACATTTTGTTACAAGTTTACAAAACGGAAAATTATCATGCTATTTGAGTTTAACAGGCAAAAATAAGAAAGGTAACACTAAATAAATAATATATTATTACAATAACTTATTTAGCACACTATTCCACACCACCATAAAGAGGTTGTGTGCTAGGCGCGTTTTTTTTAAAGTGGTTTCCCCAGTAGGCCTAATCCACTAAGAAATAATTACTTAAATTGAGACTGTTTACAATTTATGTAAATTTATCTATTGGTAATTTGTGAAATTAATTAAACATTAGCTTTTAATAGAATTTATTTATATTTTGTTATGATTATATTAATTCAATAATAAAATTGTATTATTATATTCAAATTTCTTAAGAGGATGTTATAAAACCTGTTGCAATTAATGACTACCAAGGCAATTCTTTAATGACAGAGTGTATTAAGTTATGTTCAAAAGATAATGATTTATTTGCTGTAACTCAGTTTGATTATTCATTATTGTTGTATAATATTAATCAGGTAGAACAGATCATTTTTTACAGAAACATTTTTGTGCATAAAATATTTTCTTTTTTGTTTACAGAAAAGTCCAATCAAAATTTTTTATCATGACAAGTTAATCACTAAGGTGTTATGGAGTTTAGACAAGGAATATTTAGTTTATATTGGTACAGAAAATGGTGAAATTGCAACAGTTGATATAACAAAAAATATTACAGTGATGATAAAAAAAATTAGTGATTTTAATGTGATTTCCATGAAGTTGAATAAAAGGTTGTAATATTTTAAATTAAATTTATTATATTTTGAAGTTTAAGCATAATTATTTTGACAGAAAGAAATTCATTGCCATTAGTACAACAGAAGGGGTAATACACATAAGTAGCATCCAATAAAAATTTATGGAAAGATAAAATATACAAATAATTTATTAAATGAAGATAGAAAATTTGTCAATAGCTACTTTAACAAGAATGAGATCGCATAAGGAATATTGACAGTATAATTTAAAAACTGCCAAGTTTTTTTTTTAATTTTTTTTTTTTTTTTACTGTTTTTATCTTTGTTCTTAAAATGCTATGTTTTGTCTTAACTTATTAATAAAAAAAAATTTAATTATAATAATAACTTAAACTAAATAAAAAAAAAAAACTATATGTTTATAAATTATTAACAATTTATAAAGGGTTTATCTGTGAAACAATCTAAGTAAATAAATTTTAAAAATCATTTACAAATAAATAAGTTTTAATTGGTGATACTTCTTACATTAGGAATTGGAACTATTATATCTTAACTGAAACAGTCTTACAAAATTTCCAATTCGTCAAATTTCATGTCAAGAAATTAATTGTATTAAAAACAATAAAATAACTTATTACAAAAAAAATAACACAGTAATATCACACCAATGGCCGTAATCCTTCCAGCAAAAATAAAATAATTGATTAGCCAATTAAACAGGACATTTACTGGGTATTTTATAACACAAGTTATATTTAAAGCTGATCTACTGACAAATAAAACAAAAATTTAAATAGTAATAAAATTAGTGTAATGGTCCAATGGGAAATTTACTTAAAACTAATATTCATCTCATTAAGAACATCAAAATTGTATAATTATTATTACATAAGTGACAACCACACAATTTATAGAATACATTCTTATAACACATTACAAACACACTAATAAAATTATTTTTTTAATCTCACTCATGTAATAATTTTGATAGCCTTAACTCATGATATGAAATGCATACCAACCTCATAAATATAGTTTTTATTAAACCTAATCTGCATTATACAGTCGGTGGAATTTTGAGCTAAAATACTTCGTATTTATGAGATTGACACATACAAAATTTTTTATTATTGTTTTAACTCATCACATATCATTGCACCATTTTTTATAAATAAATTTAAATTTATTGATAATTACATTTATAAGGTACAACACACATAAAGACCACTATACGAAATACATATAGTAAGTGACCTTAAAAATATTATTGTTTTATATCACAATTATTAGACTTAACTTAATTAGAATTGGTTTCACAATAAAATATTCACTATAAATCATACATTAAGCTAATTTACCAAAAAAATACTAAGTAAAGAATTAAAAAAAAAAAAAAAAAAAAAA